TTGTAGACGAGGAGATAGCTGTTTTGCCGTCATCTCCTGAGCATCTTGCAGGAGAAGGCGCGAATGCGGAGAATTTCGAAGAACTGGAAGAAGAGCCAACCGCTGAAAATAAACGAGCCTCTCTTTTTATCGAAGAAAACTTTGCTGTCGACGAATTGACACCCACCAAAACGTCGGTTCCCATTCACATTGCTGGTCAAGAGGTGCGCATATCAGAATTTGTGGAAATCTCAGAAGAAGCTACGGCACCTTTAGAGCTCGCCCAGGAATTTGAAGAAAGTGATGAGGAGGTCAACTACGATTATGCCGTTACTAAAACCACTGATGGAAACAATCATGTTGCTGGTGAGGTTACAAACATAGAACTTAGAGAGATTACAGATGAAGAAGAGTCACCAGAATCGGATTATGGTGAACAGTTTGAAGAATTCGAGAGTGCTTATCGCACTCAAGGACTCATGGAGCCAACTCGAAGCGCGCATATTGCTGGAGAAATAGATAACATTGTCTCTCGAGATGAGGTCATGGAAGACACATTGCAGCTGGAGGAAGGTTTAGAGTTCGAAGACAGCCTTCAACTTGTAACCACAACTAATATAGAGGACACAAACCAATCTTCACTACACGTAGCTGTTGAACTCTCTAACATTGAACCACATGAAGAATCCTCAGAGGAAGAAAAACCAGAAAAAGAAGAGATTGCAGAGGAAATTGAAGAAACTGAGGTGCGAGCCACAACTTTTGCTCTTAAATCTCCTCAATCTTTACTGAGTATTGCCGCTGCTGCATTGGAACTCAAAATTGATACTACACAACAGGTCTCTGAGGTGGTAGAAACAAAATCTGAAGTAACGCAACAACATAGTGAAGAGAAACATCTCGAGGTGCCAGCTATTTTTGTGAACGTTGCCGATGAAGTATCCGATAATGACGAAGAAAGTGCATGCTATGTCGAAGAAGAACCAAATATCGAGACAGAAATACAAGAACAATTTGAAGAAACTGTCGAAAAAAACCCTGTCTCTGAGTCGCATGTTGCTGCAGAAGTTTGCATTTCCGAATTTCCTTCAAAGAAAGACGACGTGGAGGAGCAAACAGACTTTGCTGAACCTTTTGAGGAAAGTGAAGAGGGCTCTGTCTCAGAATTAATTTCCGAGTGTTCGTCGTCACCGTTGCACGTTTCTAGTGAACTCAAGGATTTTCAAGATTACGAAACAACTGGCGAGGATTATGGCACTGAAACCTATCAAGTCATGACACTCGATGAAACTAAGTTCGTTTCGGAAAAGTCGTTCTCGAAAGGATTGCCATCACTTTACATAACAGAAGAACTGTCGACACAAGCAATTTATGACGAAAGTGTCCTTAACGGGAAATCAGTTGCAATCGAAACGACTGAGGAGTACAAGAAAGAAGAGAAACCTTTAGAGACGGAAACTAGCATTTTCGTATCTCAACCGCTCCTGCAGACGGTTTCAGATTTTTCCGACTCTGATTACAATGACGGTGTTGGAGAGGAAGATGACTTAAGCGAGAGAGAGTTTTGTGAAGGATTTGAAGAGATGGAAGAGAGCGGCGGAAGAGATACACTGTCAGGAGAGCCAACTAACGCTGTTTCTAAAAGCGTGTTAAGCGAGTCGCAAGTTGCAGAGGAAGAAAATAAACTTGTAGACGCAACTGACAACGCACAGAAATCTAAGGAACAAGAGCTTGTTTATGTTCATGCAAGAGATGTCGAAAGAGAAAGCATTGTCCATACGGAAGGAAAAACGAAGGAAGACACTAAGGAAATCGAAGAAAAAGGTTTTACACATCAGATGCAGACGTTTACGACTGTGAGCCAGAGAGAACAGAGATCTGTGGAAGTCAAGTCTAGTTATCATGTTATGGAGAGCAGAGAGTCACAAAGCAGCGAACATATCTATACTGGAGAAGAAGAACAGCGAATGGAAATATCGCACACAATTGAACAGAAAGTTCAAGTTATTGCATCGAAAACAACGCGTCAGGTATCTTCCACAGATTCTCACATTGCTACTGCAAGTGAAGAAATTCACTACAAGGCCGACAAAAACAGTGAGGGTATACTAAAGGAAGAATTAAAAACAGTTCAAGAAATCTCTTTCACTCCAACAAAACAAACAACCCGACAAACCTCGTGGGAAAACGATCAACACTATGTAAAGAATGATCAGCTTAGTGAAAGTATTTTAGAGAAAGAAGTTGAGGATCAAGAAACCAAGAAGAATGAAAGACTACTTTCAGAGGACGAAACAGAGGTTCGTCTTTTAAAGAGCGAAGTTATGAAATCCAAGGCGGCTGAGCAACAAGAATCCTCGGGGAACCCACATGTGATGATAGAACGGGAGTCAAAATTTGTGAGTCTTGTTCACTCTGGAGTTAAGGACGTTCGAGAAGTTCTACAGGTTATACGACAGGAAGACGTAACTGTCATTTTAAAAGATGACGAAGCTTCTCTTGAAGAAGAGTCAGCAGAAGAACACTTTGAAGAAGAAATCGATATTATGCGAATGGATGAAGCCTTGTCAGAGGAGGAATTCCGTGGCGAAGGAGCTGAAAATGTTGATCATAGCAGTTCAAGATTATCCAAGACCGATTCAGTAGAGGAAATAGACAGATGGGACCAAGAGGAGGGAAGTAAACCTCTCGAGGATGAACGAAAAAAACATCTCTTTGAGGAAGAAGTAGACGTCAGCGAAGTGCAATCTATCTATGAGGAGGAAGTGGAAATGCAAAGGGTCAAGCTAAAAGAGGACGGAGACCCTTCTGAAACTAAGGATAATGTCGTCAGTAGCACGCCTACTTTTGAAGAAGAAGTTGAGACAGCAGCACATGGAAGCACTATTCAAGCGGAAGAAGGCAGCTTTGAAAGCCAGACGGCTGACAATATGCAATTAAGACCACAGTCAACGGAGTTTGAGGAGGAATTGGAGGTATCTACACTACAAGAAGTTCAAGAAGTGGGCTCAGAGGATTTTGATCCAGAAGGTCATTCAGTAGCAGCGGTATTTGAAGAAGAGGTGGAGATTTCTGCTTCAAGAGAAGAGTACCAAGAACCCATGATGGTTAAAGACGAAGAACGCAAAACAGTTTACTACATAGAAAGTTCAGAGCAGTTTGTTGAAGAAGGACGTGCTAAACTTGTTGAAAAGAGATCCACACGAAGGCAGCCGCTTGATTTGAGCCAAGTTGATCTGTATGAAGATGAAGGAGCAGCAACACGGTATTACGTTGAACTGTCATCAACAGAGAGCCTGGAACGAGCTTATGAGGAGGTAGAAGATGAAGTACCGTTCACCGAAAAATTCGTGCGACAGGGAGATCCATTGGAAGAAAACCTTGAAGAGTTTATTCTCGTGCGATACGGTGATGAATTTGAATCTTCTGGTGAGGAGGACCTTTCTGAGCAACGAGAAATCTACGTCATTCCTGAGGAGGATAATGATGGTGAAAACAACAACCTTGTAGAATACCCGAAGGAAGAGCTTGAAATTGAAAAGGAACCACTCGCGGAGAGTTTTTACGAGAGAGAATACAAAGACGTTGGTCTAGAGGAAATCCGAGAGTCTCCAGAATTCGGAATCGACGATTCTCCAGAAGACGAATTGGATGAAGAGGAACAGCGTCAACTCGAAGAATATGAACGGCTGGAGTCATTTGTTATCTTAGAGGAGAAATTGAGCCAAGTGGAGTCCGATGAAGACTGTGATGATGAGAATGGGGGTTTCAGAGGGCAGGAAGGGGACGAAAATGTCTTCCATTCAGATGTACATTCTAGCAGTGAAGAAACTTTGCACGAGGATGAATTAGGTGAGACCATGACGACTTCTTCGATTAGACATGCAGCAGTGTCTGCTGATACCGAATCAAATGAAGATAAAAATACGGATCGCCAGAGTAGCGGCACACACCAAGAACTCGCTGAGGATTCCTTTGTAGTAAAAGATGACGAATTGGAGGTTCAGGAGGGTTTTGCTGAGAGTGCAGTGAAAGATTTTTCCAGTGAGGAATTTCAAACGTTACCAATACAGAAGGGTATTCTTTCTGATGAAGGAGATCGAGAGAACGTGAAAGCAACTCCAGAATCTGTTGAAAAAGAAGTACACCCCGAATCCAGAGAAGGAAAAGACAATAAAAACGAGCACAATCTAAGCAGTGACTCTTCTGGTGAACAAAGTATTTCAAGTGAAGGATCATTGTCCTCCACGGCCTCAGTTGATCTTGAAGGTGAGAGAGAACTTTCCTTTTTCTTTCAATTTGACATAAATGGGATTTTTTTTCCTTTCACTTTCAAGGTATAATGCTCTCTACTCTTTTCCGTGATGATTTTCTGTTCCTTGTATTATACATAATCACGGAGGATTTCTTTGATAGAGCAATATTGTGACTAAACAAAATATCCTTGGAAATGTATTTTTTAGGATTAAATGACTTTGAGCAAGATTGTCTTTTGCAACACAACTTCTACCGGCGGCAACACCGATGCAAACCTCTGAAATGGTCTGAAGAACTCGCCGCTGGCGCAAAAGAGTGGGCAGAATATTTGGCATCGGTGAGCTCCCTCGAGCGCTGCGACGGGAAAGAATTTGGTCAAAATCTCGCAACTTTGCAAGGAAAAGAATTTAGTGGCTCCGAAGTTGTTGACACTTGGTATGGAGAATCATCAGAGTACAATTTTGATGATCCTGCCTTTAACGCCAAATGTGGTAATTTTACGCAAGTTGTTTGGACTTCGTCCTCTGAGTTCGGTGTGGGGAAGTCTGTGGCTGATGATGGAACTCAGTATGTCGTGGCGTGGTATAAACCTTCAGGAAACGTCGTTGGAGAATTTAAAGACAATGTAAAACCACCTAAAGATTCTTCTAGCCGAGTGCGAAGACGAAGGTCAAGTGCCAGGAGACGTTCCCGGTCAGGAATTCCGCCTTCCACTCCAGCGGAAAGAGGTAGTGACCATGATTAAATTAGAGACTTACTTGAGAACTTCAACTGCCGGTGGATAACTTGTTTGTCTACCGCGGCATTCATGGAATGAAAATTTTGAGGCATGCGGTTTCAAGCATGTCGTTATGTGTATTTTTTTGTGTACAGACAGCTGCTTAAATTTACTTAAGAACAGAGCAGTTTTGGCAGATAATGGCGTAGCACACCAACTAGACAGAGGAAGTGAGACTATATGTAAGAATGGAAGGCCACATCTAGTTGGAAGACTAAGCTCGATTACCGATTAATTAAGACTTCTCTTAAATACGGATTGATAACCAAATTTATCGCTTCATTGCCCTCGTGAGCATCCTCTTGCGCTGTTAATACATTGCGTTCATGAGACAAAGACTATCCTTGTTTTTTCCCAACCTTATTTTGTGTTGCTTTTTTTTCGTTTCTGTTTGCCATTCTACACAGGTTTATATCATGTTCTGTTGTTTTCCTTTACTCACACTTTTCATTTTTGTAAGCTCATTTCCTCATTTTTTACGTCATCAGAAAAATTTAAAACCGAGTGCGTCATCTCACATAATTACTACCGTACATTTCACAATGCTCCTCCTCTGCGTTGGTCTCCATTGTTGGCTGCCGAAGCGCAGAATTACGCAGATCGCTTGATTAAGACAGGCTCACTTACTCACAGCGGGCAAAAGGACCGCGGGGAAAACCTGGCCTACACATGGGATAGCCCGCTTTCTGCTCGAGGAGCGGTAGACTTGTGGTATGATGAAGTTCAAGAATACGACTTTGATTGCCCGGGTTACACATCCAATACGGGGCATTTCACGCAGTTAGTCTGGGTAGGAACAGAAGAATTTGGAATGGGAATGGCTGTAGCTCCCGATGGGAGACATGTGGTCGTCGGAAGATACTATCCTCCGGGAAACATCGTAGGACAGTTTAGAGCAAATGTGCATCCAAGGGAAATTGCTGGAATTCCATAGTGGGGTTTACAATGATAATACATGGTTAACAGTATTAGGAAAGTGATCTCGGACTTAGAAAAAGCGACAGATGAAATGGCCCGTTTTTAGTTGTCGTGAAGTCTTGGAAAGAGTATTTATTACACGTGATATTTGGAATACGTCAGTTTTATTTGTCATATTGATCGTTTCACAATATTATCAGTCTCATGAGAAGTCTAATGGAAGATAGTTGAAACCTCTGTTAGACAAAATTGAGGTTCATTTTAATGTTTATGTACCATGAGGGCCAGCTTATGTTGAGCGAAACAGCAATTTAACCTGCCAAATTTACGTTAGGAAGTGCCTTTCCGATCGAGATGCGAAAATGCAAGAATGAGGTGATAAGGTGTATGCACGTGTTTTAGTTGAGCTTAATTTTTTGGGTAGTGCCCCTTCTTCTCTAGAAGACTGAGGAAATCCGTCACTAAATTAGGGACAATGAGGAAGTTCCCACGCCCCCGTAAAATTCTGAATTTAATCAGATATGCAGCCTTAGGAATGTTAACTATTCAGCTTTTGCTCAATTCTAACTCTACACTTGATCTTGACGGTACTGTCCTGTCAGACTAATCTTGGTAGTTACTCTAAATCATTAGTTAAACTTGAGCCAAGAGCGCATCAACCAAACAGACAGGATTCTTGATGATTTTTTTACCTTAAAAAATTTTAACCCGAGGCTGAAAAATTATCAAAAAGGAAGTTAAAAGCGTTACCTTTGAGCCATTTCAAGTGACGATGCAGGCACGAAAGACTAATTTAAAGGTGACACAAAACTAGATTTTCATTTAATTTTAAAGGTTTTCGTTTCGTAATTTCTTAAAGTTATTTTTAGTCTCGTTTTGGATGGAAAATCGCTTCAAAATGTTTTATAAGTCTGTTTTAGGTTATTTTTGTACTGGGTAAAGTATATGGGATAGAAGGAATAACTTTGAACATTTCCGCATCAATTTGCATTAGGATAGATAACTTCTAATGACATATAAAAAGACAGTGAATAAATTTGAAGGCGCGCTCTGATTGGCGAGTCAAACTCCTAATATCCTTTGCCATTCTCCATCGAGTAACTCACGCGGGGAATTGCTACCAACGACTATCGTAATCGTTACCGGAATAAATGAGTTAAAATCATCTTTTTGTGCTATATTATCTCACTGTTTTGGTATATCTGATACAACTATGCACCTCAGTGTCGGACGCTAGTGATATTTTCCTCGCCGCTTCGCGGCACGGTAAATATCACCACATGCCACCTCCACTTCGGAGAGTAACTGCTAATTATTAATAAGGTTTCAAAAGGATATTGAAATGCAGTTTGCGTCTGCGTTAGGATCGAGAACATTTAGCCACTTATTGAATAATAATTAGCCTTACTTACAGGCTATCTTTCTAAAAGATTCTTATAAATACTAAACAGCAAACGTTTGTTGCGTTAAGAAATATGAATTAGAATTCTCTTAATTTATTGGAGCATGTGGGCTTCCAGGGACATTTAAAGAATGTATATTTGATTCCATATTTATTTTGTATTATAACCTTTTAAGAATATTTCTTTGTTAAAGAGAAATTATAATATGATATTTATTGTTAGATAGGCTGTTTAAATTGAGTGTTATAGAAATTATGAACGTAAATAAATTGCAGAGTTTAAGCAGGAATGCAACTGTTTTGATAAACTGATATCTACTGCCGATGGTTACTAATTCTACTTTTGCAATTTGAAATAATGTTGGAGTATCGCATTTTTGCTGCTTGCTAGGAATCACTTAATGAAAAAAAATATCCGAATATCCCTATGCCTGTTATTATCTTTGATGGGTAGATATTCCTTGGAAGGTTTAATCCACAAAAACTGCAGAAGTTTAAGTGAAGCTTAAAGTAGTTTCATAATTGGACGTCACGTGACCCCAAGGTTAGCTTTGAGATAGCGAGATAAAGCACATCATCGGAAAGTAAGTTCTGATAATCCTGCGTGGCCCCTTGCTGAAGCTTTCTGCCTTGGTTAATGACTAACTGTAACGTGGAGGAAACTATTGATGCCCTAAACTGCTGTCATTTTACTGAATAGCTCTCGACCGTTGGCTCCACAAGAGAAAAGAAGAGAAAGGGCTTAAAAAAATGAGTACCGTAGCTCTCAAGAGTAACACAAAAGGAATCTTACAATATCAAAATATTTCCAAACAGAAAAGTGACGAGTAGAAAGAAAAATATCAATCATGAACTGCCGAAGGGAAAGTGTTTGTTTGAACATCAAATTCTCAGAGGTTTTAAAAATTGTACGAATTTTTTAGCAGACAGAGAAGAGAATTGTTATTTAGCTCTCGGGAATGACAAGGTTTAACGTCAACCTTTGTAAAATCACACCGAGACTCTTATTAATCAACGATACGATATTTCATCTGTTAACCTCCTTTAAGCTTCATTCCATTAGGTTTTTTTTAGAATTAATTTGTAGCAATTATAGAACAATAAACTCCACTTAACGTAAATAATGAAGCTGTTTCAAACCAGTGAAATAAAACTTCCGAAGTGAACACAAATTACAGCACCTCTTTTAACAATTACCTTACGGAGAAATAATCACTGAAGTGGTTCGCAAGTTTGCGCGACAAGTACTTCTGATCCTAAATACAGCAGCTTTATTTTTTAACAAAAAGCGATCGCGGTCGACTCCTGTTTGTTTGTTCTCAGTCTAGTTATAGAGGCGGGCGAACTCCAAGCACCATTTACTACGCGAGGCTTAAGTATTCTTGTGCATCCTCGTAAACTTCTTCTAAATCATTCTCAAACCTTTCTTGTGCATCCTTAGCTTTTAAGCGTTGAATGTGAAGATCAAACCACAAAGAAAACATGTCAAGGTCTTCACCGAATTCGTCAGCATACAAAATGTTTAAATGGTGATTAATCTGATCCAACTTGGTTAATATCTCATCCACTTCAGGAAGTGTGTTGTTCTCCTCCTCCTTTGTGTTATGAACACACGAACTGTCTGCATCCATTGCTGAACTATGAACCACAAAACCCATGAGTTCCTTTACTTTTACAATAATGAAGTTTCCAAGATTGAATTTCCCTCTGGTGAGGTCTCTGATATTGCCGTAATTGTAAACAAGAACTGAAATAAAAATATTGATGCATATGAGATTTAGTCCCAATTTTAACGCTGTAACGTAAACAGGGCCGATGACTGTACAACAATCGTTAAAATAGTCCACTCCGCCACCGACGACTCCTTCGACTAGAAGAGACTGTAGAATAATGAAAGGCGAAGAAAAGGAGTAAAGTTCTCCCCCAAATAGAAGATATCCCACATGAATACATCCAAATATGAACACAGCGAATAGAACCGAGCAATGAACGAGTTCCCGAGCAGATCCCTTCATAACATAGAATAAATGCCGCACATGGGGATTGAATTTGAGCAAATACAGCAACTTCAAAGTGTTCAAGAACATCAGTAACGATATTAAGACCGTTTCCAAGTCCTCTAAGAGAGCCCCTTTATCAAAACTGATAAACTGAAATGTATTGTTTTTGAGTTTCTCTGTGTTGACAAAAAGCTCTGTTTGTTTTAAAATGTGGGTGATAACAAAACCGACGACTGTTAAAGTCTGCGTGAATTCGACCCAGTTTAGAAAACGTGAGAAATAAATTCGAATACCAGCGATCATCTTTGACGTTTCCTTGACAACAAAGTATACAACATAACCCACTAGAAACAATTGACAGGTGACGGTAACAGCACTGTAGCCTCCACCAATTCCGTATACATGAATGCCTCGAATCACATGATCAGATACCACGTGACCACTTGGTGAAAACTCAATTGGGATCCAAATCACGCCAAACAAATTCACTTGAGAGTTAAAAACAGTAAACTCGACAATTACAGCACTGGTAAACCTGTCAATCCAGTCAAACAGATTAAGTTCAGATATGACTTTCAGTGCTGTATTTCTGTCATAGCCCAACTCGGCCAGGTAGCCTCCTTTACCATAAAAGTTTGACAGATGAAGTTTTCCCCACAAAGGAAGGCTTTGAGTTCGCTCTGCCGAAGAATAATGCCAAGCAGTAGGACATATCTGATAGAGAATGCTTAGCGAATCATTCTTCGATGGGGAAAATTGGCGCCATCGTGTTTGATAGAAGTTGGTGTTGTCCTCGTTATCGGATGTATATGAAGCCACGCAGGAGTTGAATGGGGCTGTTATTTCATCTATGCCGACATCGCAAGAACCTTACAACGAAAAAGAGCATGTTTGTAATCTATACAGATCACAAGATCGAAGTTTGCCTAATTATTCAAACTATAGTTGCCTCAACGACGATCCGCTTCGAGTTCAGTGAATATTGTCTAAATATTGGTGTGTAGCTCTTACGTGAAAATAGGAAAATGTTTCATAATTCATCAAATCAATCCGAAGCAAACAATAAATGTACGAGCTAATTACCCGAAAACTTTTTGCTGAATTTGGTTTCATGTAAAAAGTGTCTGGAGCCACCTCCACGAGAGAAGTCCCCCTCAGCGAACTGCCGAAAATACATTTCAACTAAATTCAAACTTGAGACCCGCTGCATCAACTGTTTGAGGATCTTTGTGAAATGAGTTTTGACTTCATTTTACTTTTTACTTAACCGAATCTTTCGAAAGGTGGATAACGCCATCTGCTGGAAAAGTCGTTATGCGGCGGGTAATAAATTTTTTTTTGTCGACAATTATCGGCTGTATGGCGATTTATCTGTTGGATAGCATTATCCACACCTTGAACAACTGAGCTCGTTCTTTTAGTAGAGGGCGTAAGTTTTTAAAGAGACTGCGCTGCTGCTTCGCAGGAGGTATACAAGAGAATTTCCTTTTATCAACTTAATTGATAATGTAAATAAGCCACCGTAAAGAGCTTCTAAAGCTGGCGTTTCGAGTGTTAGCCCTTAGTTTTTGCTCTGACGGAGGGCTGGTGCTCCAAATGTCAGTTTTAGGAGCTCTTTACGGTGGCAAATTTACGTTACAAACTCAATTGATAAAACCACACTATTTTCTCAATAGCCTCGGTCAACAAAAAAATCAAATTTCCAAGATGGAAAACACTTGAAACACTTCTTTTAAGACACCTTCTTTGACTCGCAGCTGTCTGAGGCGAGGCATTCCAACAAGAACAGAGTCGCCATCTCCAATGTAAGGACTGGAACTATTCAGTGGGACGTTTTTCCCGTCTTCAAAAAGTCCTGGTACTAAAACGTCACGTGTCCAGTCCCAAGTGTTAAAGTGATTTGATATCTATATGATAAGAAGCGAAAAAGCCAACGATCAGTAACTCCTTCTACTTTGAAAAGTTTTAGTTTGATTGTTTCTATCTACTGCCATTGTTTCTCCTATAAACTTAAGGAGTTATCTAAAGGCTTGTACAATCACAGAGAGGTGTAGGTATTCGTTGTCTTTAAGTTACGCGTATATAAAACGAGAAATTGGCCGATAACATACCGAATCAAGTTCCCCAAATGTCTTCTTAATGGAAGATGTCATCGGGTACCCGTGCTCGCTACGTCCACCGTAACAAACAATACATAGAATTAACAAGTACAGCATGTACGACACTATATTCCGAAGGGCAGTATACATATACGCCTCCCTTATTCGAGCGACCCTTGCGCGACGTAACTGCCTTTTGCTTAGTGGCTTTGGTATTTCAATTTCTTCCTCGTCAATCTCTTCGTTGCCTAAACCACTCAATTCAATATCTTCGACATCAACGACTGCGTCAACGTGATAAGGTTGCCACGTAAATCTTTGAATTCCTCCTTTAAAAATGTGAGATAGCATAAAGGCAACAACTATGATTTGAATAGGTTCTGATACAAATATGTCCAATACAACTGACATTACAACTGAAATCAGCCACTGCTCACTTATATCTGCACCCCACTGAAGACTGTAGAAGACAACAAAAGCCGCCGAACATGACGAGAGGAGGAAACACAAGAGCCAAGGAACGAATATAAACCAGCGTGGAAAAGAGAAGTCACGTTTCTTCTTGGCGAATTTCCTGTGCGGGTCCCTTTGTAGAGCCATTTCCTTATTCTCGTTTGAAGAACGAGTGTGAGTAAAAAGTGCCACGGTCAAGATATTGACAGGAAGTACAATCATAAGACTCTGCCCTGCAATGACGAGCGCTCTGAAGTTCACAACCAAACGGCCCAACCTCAACGATCCTTGATCATCGTCCATCGCTGTTTCACGCTCGTAAAACATGGCACTGCTTAGCATGGTAGTCAGTAATATAGCTAGACAGCAAGATAAACGTTGAGCTCGAGTAAATCGATAACTTGGTGGTCTTGTTACGACAGAAAACCATAAATGTGAATCACTGAACTCACCAGCAATTCTATTCTGAACATAAACTGCAAAATCAATTCCTTTGTCGGCAGTTGAAGTACAACGAAGAGTCCGGTCTATTAATCCATCACCTCTATCAACAGCCAGCCACGCGAAACACACAAAGTTCCATTGCTTCTCATTGGTCAGTTCGCAAACCTTGATATGATTCAAAAACCACGATGGACTGGTGCCCGAGTTGTCATGCCATACGCGCACGGTTCTCATGGGACCAATACTGTCATGAATCGAAAGGATAAAGGAACTAATGCTCCCTCTTGCGAAAGGGATGCACGAATCGTCTTTCAAATGGTAAGGTCGGCTAGTGCCTAGCTCCCCCTCTAGTATAATAAAAATGTTAGCAGTGGTGCCGGAGTTTCGCCAAATGCCCGTGGATACTTGAACCTCGACGAAATAAGAGCCTGGTGAAGGAACTCCTACGAATGGCTTTTCCCCCACCTGTAAAAACCAAAAAGAAAAATAAATCAGTCTCAATTATTGTACTGTGCATGCTGTCCTGTGAATATCAGAGTGCACCAATGAGCTTTGTCACCCACCCCGTTATCAAAAAATTATATACTTATTGTCCGTCTTTGGGTTGTAAAAAATTCTCACAAAAAAAGAAAATTTAGTTGTGTGCTGACCAAAGTGTAAACTTTACACCTAGTTCAGCACTTTACAATTGCGTGATTAACATGAACACATCATGGGTTTTTCATAGAAGTGTCATATGTTGCTCATTTGTAGTACGAACAAATGAACAAAATATGCCACTTAAATCTCCTTAGAAGCCCCAGTTAAATATCTATACTTTACATAAAAATCAGAGTGAAAATAGATAATCATATAAAATTCGATTGTTAAACTAGTTGAGAAATTTAGAAATCATCTGCCTACCTTCAAGATATCAAGTTTGTCATTCTTTCGAGCCCACACCAATAAAAATAGGTAAAAGCCAAATACACAGCAAACCGCTAATATGACAGCTATGTTTCCACTATCTGATAGGCCAGTTAGTTCAGTGAAAACTTTATCAAAATCGATTGGATTCGGCGTGACAAATAACTGACCCCCAAAAGCACTCAAGTGATTACAGGAGCAGTAAATGGCATCTTGAGTAGTCAATTCGGCTACCTGCAAGAAAGCAGTTTAAAATGTTCCAATTTCAAACCGAAACTACAGAGAAAGGAGATTTTTCCCATTTTTCAGTGACACCTGCCTCTTCTAATAGAATAATTTCCTATCAGATTGTGGTATCAAAAGGGTAAGTGCTTTTGATACTCGTAGCTAGAGTAGAAGAGTACTTAGTCACCTCTGCGTTAAAGCACTATTCCCTATATTTCATTAGTGATTAAATATCTACTATTTCTTCTCTTACCTGGCACCCCTCTGAGGTCCATTTCGATAACTGCGCATTCCAGAACAGGCAAGCAGCTGGCGTCACCTGAAAGGTGTAATTTTCATCCCCTACACGGTATTGAGGTACGCTGTAACTTTCACCAGTGGTGGGTGGTTCTTTGTACTGTACACACGACCGCTTCAAACGGCCGCGACCTGAGCAGCGCTTAACCCTTAGGATCTCAGAAATTCTTGACACGGCTCTTAGCCCAAAGTAGTAATATCCAAAACCTTTGTTTTTAACAAAGTCTTGGTTCACAAACACTATATATGGATTGCGTGAACAGTTCACATGACCATCTGGCATCTTACCGCAAGACGAAAGGTCAGGTATTGTTGATTTTAAGTCGCTATTACTTGGGGAAGGCCGCTCTCCGTACTTAACAGTCACCACAAACTCTGTTCTGTTGCTTTCCGGACGAATGTTTAGCACCAATGCCATCCCTGACTGAGTGACATTTATCTTGAAGAAAACAGTTCTGTTGGCTCCCACGTAATGAGACTGAGCAGCGTTTGTGAAGTCCTGATGGCTCTGTAGTCTTATAGTAATCGGGTGTATTAGTTCCTTCGTATTTAAGAGATGCCCAGAACTGTTCTTAAGCTCAATGCTTGAAACAGCGGTTGTCACTCTTTCTCCTGACAGGTCCCATGAGAACAGTGTGAAGTCTGTCGTTACCATCTGTCAGACCGGCAGCGAAAAAGAAAAGAGGGTGAAATTGTCATAAAAGGATGGTCGGAGCACATCACTGAAATGGCTTTTTCTCACAAAAGTAGGGCCGTTTCGGTAATTAAAATATAGTACTATGGGAGGAATTTGTCATAATGTTAATAACGCGATGTTTGCAACAGAGTTAAGAGTAAATATTTGAAATGTACAATTCATTATCATCATCATCATCATCTTTTATCTGCCTTATTTACACAATACAAAAAATTTATTTACAGCGGTTATAGCTAGAAGGCGAGGAGACCCAGGAAGCCAACGGTCTTGTGGGAGCGCCACCACACTTACATTAATAAATAAAGTAAAGAAAAAGTGCTGTGAAAGTGCGGCTAGGCCAATTCATTGATTATTTAAGTAAACACTCTTGCATTTTTGTCTTAAAACTAAGAAGATTTCTTACAAACCTGGCTATCTACAAATTGGCCAGAATTGTCAAACAATTTGGAGGCCGGAGGAAGCTGAAAACTGTTCCCTTTATTTGACAAAACAGTCCCAGCGAGTGAATTAGGCTCTTGTCGAGACAGTAGCAGGGACATTGCCTGGGCTGGAAGCTCTTTTGGCTCTTCTCCAACGAGAGTCCGGGACAAGATGGTGCTTCCGACTTCCTCCAAGGAATGAAGTAGAGTCTCAACTTGGACACGAGCCTTAAAGAAAAAGATTAAAAAATAATTGTTGTCACTCAAAGTTTTAACTTTTAGAGCAATTAATGCTTTTTTTCTTTGTTTTTTGAGGAATAGCAACCCAAAAGCTAGATTTTTAACATTAATCTTTTTACCGACTGAATCTAGATTTTATTCCCAATTATCGGTCAAAATGTTGTACTTTCAGTGTCTCCTTTCTAGAAATATGGTATCGAAGACATGGCAAGCGAAATTGTGTTTCAGATTAGCGCTCCAATCAGGAAGTGGAAAATGTGGGTAGAATTCTAATTTAACGTGGTTTTTTTTCCTGTGGAACCATTATAGAGGTGCTTTGCGGATTTAGCACCTGTCTAACTTTAATTTTCGATTCAGGTTTTTAACTTGAATTTCTGTCCGATTCCCTACCTGCAGCTGTACGTCAGCACCGTCCCTTTTGGTCCTCCTACCCAATTTATTAGACAAAGAAGTTCTCGATTTGAGATTCCCCTTTCGATTCTTAGACAAGCGTCCTTTATATGCAGTTATAAAGCTAGCTTTCATTTGAGACTCTTCATGTGACACAGCATTTTCCACACTAGCTCCGTGTGAAGTTAGCCTGAGCATGCTCCCAAGTCCAGTTACAAGACTTTTCACACCATCAAATAGTGTGTCGTAACTTTGTCCAGCTTCACTGGCCGTCTTCAATACTACAGCCATCTTTTCGAGTGCATCCGTTGCATCTTTCTAGACGAAAAGAAAAGTGTAAAGGATCAGGAAAAGCATTTTTGTTCTTTCAAGCGACCTGATCGTGTTATTTTTAATTTTAGCTAACAAAGCGATACTGGCGTGATTAAAATGAAGTGATTGGTTATTAAATTACCTGTGCTTCGTTGGTAATCTCGGCGATGACTGAGCTGGCAGAGGCTATCACATTCGATACCTGCTGGACTCTAACGACAGTATCTACTGAGACGGTTGAAAGCTGTTGTATGATGTTTGATTTTATCTACAAAAAATATAAATGTATTCTTAACATGGGCACAAATGGAATAGTTCCAATCCCATAACAGGTATACAAATATCGTTATGGACGAAGTAACACGGCCGGGTAAAGACAATTCTGCGCTCAAGCCGGCAACAACAAGACACGGAGTTGGAGTCTATACAAGTTATAATAGTATTGCGTCTTCCTCTAAATACTAGCCATGCCAGGTTTATCTTTCAAACCCGGTGAGAAAAGACCCAGAGACTTCTCAGTTCCAAGCTTGGCACAGCGTGCGGTAACGTTGGTGTTACCAGCAACAAACTTTGCTTGGGTTCAAGTCCCGACCAAGTGCCCAAGGGTACAGGAGCCCAGGGCAGTTGTGCCTCAAACTGAACTGTGTCCCATTAGGCCTCTAAAAAAAAAATTCCTTACAATTAGGTAGTTCGCTCTGAGAAGTTCCATCATTAGTTTTTCTAAGTATGTAAGAATTACCATAATTTTTTTCTCTGTGAGCTCCTGCACCTGACTTTCTGCAGATTCTGATTGCGTAACAAAATCAACGGCCGAAAGGACTGCTGCGGCCAATTGTGTGGCACGTGACACATCACCTGACTTGATCAAGGAGTTCAGTTCACTTTCATCGCCAGACGTGAGGTTGGTGACAACATCGACAAGGTCTTTTGGATCAATACTGGGCTCAGAAACCTAAAATTAAAAAAAAAAATTTCATCAACTACATCTGGATGTCACAGACAGTGCTGACTAAAATAAGAAGTGAACAGGAAAAAGAGTCCAAATAAACTAGTGAAGGTGTTCTTTGCCGTTACGGTTACCATTTCATACCTGCACAGGAGTCCTCATTTCAGTGTATGCCCCCAAAATGTCAACCACTCGCACGCGAAAGTCGATGGTAAAGTTATTTTCACTCTCTCCAGCAGGAAGTTTGGTTGTTAAACTAGTTTTTACTCCTTTGTACGCCACATTTAGAAGATCGTTACTTCTGAGGTAAATAAATTCATACCGCAACTGAAGATCTGGATCCTGCCAATTATCACAAGTAAAAGTAAACTCTGTTATAAGAGCAACTCCTGATATTTGGCTCACATTGCATACTCCTCCAACAGGGGGACTGTTTGAGGTCACGTGGTACTCGGAATACCCGCGGTATCCACCTGGTCGTTGTGCAGTCAATATAAATTTATACCTGGTATCGGGTGTCAGCACTCCAGGCTTAGTGACGAGAGATTTTGATGAAATTCGAGTACTTATCAACTCTTGTATTTCTAAAACCTCAGTCCATTGTGAACTGTTTGAAGAGTTATTCAAGTCTTTTAAAACCGTCCACTTGAAGATAAGGTTACCATGACATGAGGCACCTGTACACATGCCCTGTAAAGCCACTCTCCCAGATGGATTCAGTTTGGCATCGCAGTTTTCAACACACCTGTGGGTCATTTTGATGATTCAGTTTAAACAGATTTCAAAGCAAAGTTACACAGTGCACCCTTAGCCCACCTCGTTTTACTTCTGTCATTTGTGAACCATTTTTCTTCAATATAAAATTTAGTTCCCTCAATTTTTTCAAAATTGTAAACTAGATAGGTAAACGTTTACATTTAAAAGTAGGAACATATTTTTTAATCCTTCAATGGATGTATTACTTGAAATGATACAATAGTCTAAAGACCTAGGAATAGTCTACCTACAACAATACAGTATGGTATGCTCTGAGAAACTTGTCATTGTTCCATTAAAAGTTTTATAAATGCCTAAGGTTGTCGCAATTAATTTGTCAAAGTTGATTTTGTTAAGATTGTCAATAACAGGTGAAGTTCAGCTGCACCTCATGTCTTAAGTTTCAAATACCTGATTTGCACTTCCGGTGGGTCACCAGGAACGATAAACACTTCCTGAGTGTACTCAGCTTTCCTTTCATCCCTTGTAACCTGTACTGTTATGAAGTATGAGGTGTTTTCTGTCATAAGACTGTTGTTTACTCTAAGTTCATGTCCAACATATTCTTTATCACCAGCCCTATAATAACATCCTGCCTCATCTGAATTATTAAGATCCAAAGGCGACTCTCCTCTGCATAGCCAGGTAAAGTTGAGGCCTAAAAAAGCACAATAAGGTTAAATGTAGGGGTTAAATTATGTCAATAGTAACGATCAGTTAGTCAAGAAGTTATTTTCATCCTTCCTGAAAAGTTTCCTTCGTCTTTTTCCGATTGCTCATGAAATTTTGTCAAAAGACCTATGATGTACTTGGTTACTAACCTGAAAATTGCAGATTCTCTTCATCAGGATCATATGAAAGGGATGCATCAAAAATCAATGTTCTTTCCAGTCCTCTGGCCACCTTGCTTCCTCCAGTGATAGATGCCACTAAAGGGCTACTCACCACCTCGAAATAACCCTGGCTGACCCCAAAAATTGCTGGTCCTATCATGCTGACATTGAGTTGAACCAAGAATTCACCAACTGGCAACAAGCGTGGTGTGATCTGTAATTCTGAGAAGCTATTTCTTGAAAGTAATGGTGTATCTTCTTCACCCAGTTTATAAACACGCCAGAGGAATGATGTTTTGTCAGATAACTCACAATGCAATTTGACTTCAGATTGTATTGTAAACTGTCTTAATCTGTGAATGCTCACGTCGGAAGATGCATTTGGTGAGATATTTGGCAGGCCCACATCCGGACTTTGGCATGGAAAGTCTGATTGAAAAATAAACCTCTCAGATCTCCATGTGGAGGGGAAAGGGAGAAGGAGAAGGGGAATAAGAGGGAGAGGGAGACAAGGTCTAAGAAAAATTCAGCATGCGGTGTAACCCCTTCTTTAAACTACATGTACTTGCCACCATGCAACTAATTGAGGGCTAATTTAGCATCACAGTACCTGAGCAACCATACAACTCCACTCTCATTGAGATGTGCCTTGACCAAGTCACTGGTCGAAAACGGATGTAACGAGCCGTAATTGATTCGTTGAGGACATGACCGACAACTGTGTTCGGGTCGGTGTTTCCATCAAAAACCTAAAGGAGAAAAGGATTTAAAGTGCATCTCTACAATTGAGACTGGAAAGTAGTAAAGGTAATGATTGAAAGTGTTATTTCGTAGCGAATTCCGCTCTTTTGTGGTAGATTAGCGGCGTAAAAATGATGATCCTTCTACAGTGCTTCTTCAAAGTAAACAACAAAATTCAAAACGTTTAGCAGGCTGGAGGATGAAATAGTCAGAAAAAGTGGAGCTCAAGAAACCCTGTTAATGAGCAAGAATTTTTCATTTTATTTTACCTTGTCTGCAGCTTGTTCAGGGTCTTTGTATGAGGTGAAGGTAGAACCATCCTTACTGTACTGCAGCTTGTACGTTGTCACCCACTGGTTATAGTTGTATCTACCTTGAGTTGCAACACCTGTCACCCTGGTGAACACACTTCCCAGATCAATCTGAAGCCACTGATTTTTATCGTTTTCTTTGGCAGACCATGCTCCTTGTTTGCCTAGCGGTGGTTTGTAATGGAGCCGTCCCTGAATGGCGGCATGGTTGGAGTTCCATTCTGAAGATGCTCGCACTCGTTCGTTGGGTATTCCATAATCTTCCATCCCTAGTGCTTCCTGACAATCTGAAAAGTTTAAAAGCGATTGAAACAAGAATCTAAGCATAATATTATTCATAAAACACGCAAGTTGAATATTCCTTGGGAATCGATGATTTTTATTTTTACCAGTCATCCACGGCAGAAACCTTGCAGCATGAACATGAAAGTCTGATGTTGACATCAAATGCTGCCCTTAGAGAGCCTTTTTTTGAATTGTGAGAGGAGCTCTTTAAGATATCTCGCTCAGTCCTTGTTTTCTAGAGATGTCGATGAAGAGGTTGACGTAGTAGCGCTGTAGAGCAGACGAGTCAATCAATGTTTCCATCCTTGTATAAAAACATATAAAAAATTAAAATCGCACACGCTACAGTAGACAGAATTGGTACTTCATCACAATCATTTTCCACAATTCTGTTTATTTCAGAGAATCTTTTACATGCTTGAAATTTATTTTATACTTTGGGCCTTGAGATTTCTCGTTCTTGATAATAAAACGCTTTCGTTAGGGCTTACAAAATTACCCCACAAGGTTTTCCGGTATCGCACGCACCGAAGCATACAGATATCAAATGATTTAAGTAGCCACTGATGAAAAAACGGGCACTGTCTCAGCTAGCTTGATAATTTCCACGGATTAAATTTTTTTGACCGAGTGATCTCTTTTTTCTTTAATTCTTGGTGAGTGTCAACCTCTGAGGGAAATTAAATAGTCCTTTGACTTCCTCTTGTGTAAAATACCGAGCGATCGCACCATTTTTATCTTTTTTCTTTTTAGCTTGTAAACGATATCCTGGAAAAAAACAAAATTGTGGAAAATAATTTTGATGAAATCGCTTTTTTAGCAATCCATTTTACATATTAACTATGGGGAGTTTCGTTCCAGTTACGTCTTACGATTATGCACGCGGATAATGAGTAGTTTGAAAGGTGGAATTATGAGATTAAGATTCAATTTTTTCTTTATTTTGACATCATAATTTGTTTTCCTTTTCAAGTCAATGAAGGGCTCTACATCGGTAACACGTCAACCTCGTCTTTAAGACCACAAGTGTTCAGATGATTCGAAATATCTCAATTCCTATCACCAAGAAATAAAAACTGCATGACCTTGTTATTGCAAGGAGATACTCATATATGTCTTTCAAATTGCTATTGTCACAACTCGGTTTTCCATGTAGCACTACCGCTGCCTGCTTGCGATGTACACCCTCGTAATTACTTAATCGTGGTTTTCCTAACTATCTTTTTCTAAGATAGTATATTTCTTCAGAATGCCCAGAAATATAGGAAAATATCCGGTTCTCGTCTTCTTTGAGGCGAACGATAGAAACCTCATGGAGAAATACAGCGTCACGCCGTCTTGATAATGCATATGTTTATTAACCAAAGATCGGAGTTGAGATAGTTCGTCAGAAATAAGCCGACTTTAACATGTTGCAAATGACATAGAAGTATAGCAGTGTACTGGACGTCAAAGAATTTAGGATTGCTCAGCAGTCATTCATGAAAGTAGATCAATTTCTTTTAGAAGATGACAGCCAGAGGCGAATATCCTCTTCAGGAGATTGGTCTTAACATAACATTCCTTCAAAGCCATGTATATTACATTTGTCTAAAGATGAAAACATCGCCAAATTATGTAACAACTGATTTTTCAGCTTTGTTCGTCAGCTGCCCCTATGAGAAATAGCGGCCTCCCCTCCCAGATTTTTACATATTTCGCAACTAGAATATTATAATCAATTCAGTGCTTAGAAAAGTTTTCCCAGTTTTACCCTACAGCCAAAATGACCGAAATTGCACTGAGATAAATAATCGATTAGTGTGTTCACATTCACTCTTTAGGAAAATTGAGTGTATGAGAATATCTAAGGCGAATAATGTCAGTGCGTATATATAATGGTAGATGTGCCAATGTGCCAATGTTGTAGAGAACTAAACATTTTACACTTTTTGGGAATTTTTTTGTGAAAATAGACATTTTCTTGCTGACCAGTATTCTGATAAGTTATCATGCAATTAAAGGGTGCTGTCCTGATACAAAATAAAATTCACAGTGTTACTCACATTTAGTCATTAAAGACTTACGAAAAGTGTACCAGTGACCACCAAATTCTAAATCTAGCTCTCTGGTAATCTGAATAGACACGCCTAGTACAGTGTCAACTGATCATGTTTTATATAATACTTCTTATATGTTACCTCCTTTTTTTGGCACAGCACAATATTCACCAATGAAATGTTCAGTACATTGACAGTAAATACGAAGGGAAGAATGGCTAGGTCTCTGATCATCAACTTGACATGTTCCTCCATTTCGACATGGATTGGGATCACAAGGATCATCTGCAAGGCAACAATCAATTTAAGGGAGGGTACTCTCACATCAAAAAGTAACAAATTTGATACATGTATAATCAAAATTGTCATTAAAATGACCCATTTTACCTTTGTGTTCTTCACTGCCAAAGCTTACACAGAGGTGATGACAAAGGCTAGAGGTGTTGACCTTAACATAATAAATAGTTGCTAGTTTTTCTATGCTAATCTGCACTCCCATCATGCAAAATTTACCTTTTTTTATCATTATCGCTTTGAATAAAGTTAACTTCTAGCCTCACTTTCAGTCACTGTGGGCTTCATGGCAGTTAAAAATTGGTTGATGCAATTTTAGACTACTAGACAAATATGCAAAAAACTCATCAGAAAAGTATTTTGTGACTCAAATGTACGCTAGTCTTTAAATTGATTAAATATCATAATCCACTTTGTCTTAGTGGCTACTATACAATGTTTGCACCACTGTGAAGTGGTCAACAACTGACCCAGCCTAAGAGAAACCTGTATGATTATTCACTAGCTGAGCTATCTGCAGGTATTGATCAGCTGGCTGAATACAAGAAGAGCCATGCAGACCAAGGCTGTCAATTAGGAATTATTGGTTACAAAATTGGCCTTTCCAGTAATGCTAGTTCTACAGCCAAACTTCCTTGGCAGTTAAAACCTGCTCCTCAGAATAAGCTTGGCAGTAAATCAGACTAGCAAAGTAAGCAAAACAATTTAAATGACTATGGTTTAGTTGTAACCATTTTCTTGATATGTGTGGTCTGCTCTCTGACCATTGCTATCTTGGTTGTAATCAATTGCATGTTGAAGTAATAAGTATACTCAGTTTGGTTGAGTTTGTGGTCTGAAAACTGCAGTAGAAAATGTCTAAGTATCCAAAAAAGTTTCACTCATCACACTTTCAACAATTATCAAAGATAACTCCATATTAGGAAGTAAATTCTGATAGGCTACTCTTATGTTCTACTAAAACTGTCTGACATAACTATGCTTGTACAAGGCGGTTATTAATGTTTCTGCCCATATTATCAAATGATCTAACTCTAATAGACCACTACATGTCCTACACAAGGTTTATTCATAAAATCAACTTCAACTTGAATAACAATAAAGAGAAAAATTATAAGGCTTGTCCAGAATCTATAAACTGTCAAAAAGTGTCAGCATCTTTCATTGCAAAGAGGACCAGGACGAGATATTCTAGGGATTTCACTGTTCCTTGAATTTCTTTCATATAAGTGAGTTTTCTCTGATTCATGCAAAGTGAAACTCCCTGACTTATTCCCTAACCTTGGCAAAATATTTATTTCCAACTTTTCCCTGGCCTGTGACAACCATGAATTAAGTTAACATAAGTCACCAATTAAAGATAACAATATTATAGTATCTCTTGATCATGTTTATCATAAGACAAGGAAAGAGGAGGATGATGGGAGAAGTAGGAAGAGTAGAAAGAGAAGGAGGAGTTACTTGACAATAATGATATCTGGCTAGAATATTGCTTAATTTCACATTCCATTACACCTAAATGGCCACTTTATAGATACAAAACATCAATTATTTCAACCCTTCCCATATTTCAAAACATTTGTAGCTACACAAACTAAGCATCAAGCATTGTGTTGTATCCTAACTATTTGTTTCAGTTGACACTTTAACCCCTAAGAGTGATAAACTTCTAATTTCTCCCAACAGTATTACCCCTCTTTGTCTGTACCCTAGGAAATGTATGGAGAACAGTATGGAGAACTTGGATGCTGATCTTAGGGTGTAAAGGGTTAAACAGTAAACAGGAACTGTAAAAACAAAAATTTATCAGTATCTTCTTGCAATCAGCTGCAGAAATATCTTGTGACCACATTTAGTCTCTTCATTTAATTATAGCATACAGTTTCCCAGACATAACCATAATCACATTGAAGAACTCAATATACATTCCAGAGCAAGATTAATTTGGAATCTGCATATATCTGCAGTTTTTCACTCAGAGTGTCTGCAGCTGTCTTGCCTGTATAATTTGACCCATCCTATTAAACCCCAGCATAAAAGCCAGTTCACTCTGGGTTTGGGCTAAACCTTGACTCCACTCTTTCTTATTACATTAGTAAAGCAAGCTTATTGTCTTACCATATTTATGTGACAATGTCCTGCCCTCCACTTTGTTTGAATATGGCCCATCTTTTTCATTTCCATCCACCAAATATATTCCAGCAACCTGAATGTTATATGCAGTGTTCTTCTTGAGTTCAGTTATTTCAACCTCTCTTTGATCAGAACTTATGGTCATATACTTCTGATCATTGCTATTAGATTTTGCATATCTTATCTTGTATCCTGAGACAGAAGAAAGCTGTTCCCAACTGACTGTGATTGAGTTTTGGCTTGTGGTAACAACTTTGAGCCCTGTGGGTTCTATGTAAATGATACAAAATGAGATGAATGACAATTAATACTTGAAATCACATGGTCACTTGAAACTAATGAATAAAAAATTCATAATCACAAAGACAAGGAATTATCTGACAATTTTTCCAAAATTGCAATCTCACATAGATTCATCCACATTAATTATGCACAGTTCATGACACAGTCTGTGGTGACATTCTGAGGTACTCACTGTGTATAAGATACATTTTCCCCTTACTTATAAGTCATTGAACAGAAAGAACCATTAGATAGAATTCCAGACATGATTGGGTATTGCAGTAAACTATTCATGGGAGTAACATGAATTTTCTTAGTTTGATTAATTAACTTACCAACAAAAAGAGGTATAAAGACATCCTCATGTAAATAAAATGGTATTCCCATATGCACACTGGATAAGTTTGTCTGTACATTACACTTTATACTTGTTTTTACCTGTACATTTTATGTGTTCAATAAGCACAATCAAAACAAATGTGATCAACAACTTCTCCATGTTTTAAATCTGTGCACTCTTACAATGCACTCTCATCTACATCATCTCATGCCATGAACTAGAATGTAGATAAAGAGATATCTCAATTTATAGTTTAAAACTATCAGGGTTGGGATTAAACTGTTTAGCCAATTCCATGTTGTGCATCTGTTCAGTAATAGATCGCAGACGATGTCAAAATGTTGCAAGAACAAAAAAACTGGCTCATAAGGGGAGTAGCCAAAGGTGTCATTGATGTTTTAACCACATTTTTAAAACTTTCGTACACCATCATTAACCAGTGCAGACGCACTGCAGTATAAATTCCACTTGTTTTGAACTGTAAATTAAAGAAACAAAATTTTGTTCATATTGACGGATCAGTGCGTCTGACCCGTCCTACGATTGTTTCTAAATTAGACCTCATCAAACTGTTTGTTTAAGGCAGCATAATGCATAAAGAGTAATTATTGGGCTTTAGAAATCTCGTCCAAGTATTTTTTGTTTCAAATCGTTTCTTAAGACTAAAGCCAACGCATCAAAAGTGAATTACCCGAAGCGGCAGCCCACAAGAAAGAATATATTTGATATGCAGTAAAAGCATCATTTCTCTTCCAAATGTACCAGCTGAAAAACAGTTTAAGCGGCCTTTGACGAGTCACCTGTGTGTAGAGCTGAATAAGTGAAATGACAATGAAATTAAACTAAATAGTAGTCTGTTACTGAGAAGTTGTAAGAATTTGATTAATTGGGCTTTCAACCTAGGACTCAAAAAAGTGGTTGTAAAACAAGATTTCATATAAATGAAACCGGAACATGATATTTTTACGACATAAAATACCAAGAAAGAGTGTAAATGAAATGACCAAAAGAGCAGTTTAAGCTCTTAAACTTACCTCAAGAGAACTCAAGTATATATAGCTGCGGATTTAACTCAGGTAAGGAGTAGTAAAACGTTCAGGCTTGTTTTAGTTATTTACCACTGACAAGCTTGCACTATTAAATAAATCGAACGCAATAATTTTGAGTATTATCAGTTAAAAGAATGTATATAAAAGTAATTAATTCTCTTACATGAACCACGATAATTCGTCGGAGATCCTGTCCTAACAGTTCGCACGTCACACAACTTCGTCAGCTATGACGCAGACGCCACACGGGGGAATATAGCGGAAAACTGGCGGGAAATGCTCCTTCTCGTCACCAGGGCCTTTCATGTGTGACGGGTGATTAGGCTTAGGCGCCAGTATTTCATGTCGCAGATGGTCTTTTTTTTTACAAAAGAAAATTTCTGCACTTCAGATCGTTATTGTTGTGCATTTTGTTCGTGAGCGCAACTGGAAAACTTGTTTGTTCAATGCAGGCAGGACTTTCCTTCCAAGGCATGCGAGGTACCTCGAGGCTTCGCCCAATCTTTACTAGTTCGCCGCCAAATCTTTCGTCTCGTTTTCCTCAATGAATAGATTTTTAAAATTTCTTGTTATGAAATGCATATTGACTTCGTAAGCAATATCCAAATTCTAAGCTATGCTTGTCCTCATGCGACTGTAGGAGTAATGAAAAGCCGTTACATTACACCACTCATTCAGTAACTTAATTAACAGAGTTATTGTTAATATATCGTTAGAATTGAAACAAAAATAAAGGACTATTTCCCTCGCCTCACATCAGCACTTCGCACCAACCAAAAAGCTGAAACAAAATTTTCTCCAAAAAAAGATTGGATCAGTATCAGTAGCTGACCGTAGCTCTCTTGGTTAACTGGTCTTTTTTGTAAGTTTTTAATCCCCCTCGATCGACTTTACAAGTTTAGTTAAAAATGCTAGTTAGAACTAGTCTTCGTTGAAATTTCACTTGGGAAATTAAATTTTGTTTTCTGATTCCTAAAACTCGTTTCTGTGGTTCTTACTTTGTTGAAGTTCGGACGAAATTTTGAATAAGTTTATCTCCTGCTGATGTGCATTCCACACTTTAATCTCCTTAAACATTTTAAGCAGCATATGACAGTTTGCAGCCTTTCCCTACATCTAGCCGAAAAACTCAAGAACAAAAATTTATCTTTCAAATCTGCACTAGTGCGGAATCAATGAGCGCTTTTCATTCAACTAATTTATTCTCGTTTTCTCTTCACCATATTCCCACCAATAGCGTTGCTCGATTTTCTGCATATAAACACACACTCAACCCATGATTCCTCCAATCGCTATAATGAAGGGCTAGCACTCGAATCTGCAACTTTTAAACTCTTTACGGGGGCCAATTTACGTTCATTTATTATCAACTCCGTTGATAATACTAAATTATTCTGTTATTACTCTCCACCAACGTAGCACCGCAGTTTCTTTAGAAACTTACCCCTTTACTGTTGAAAATTATACTCATCAACGGATGCAAAAATAAAACGCTTAACTTCGCTTTATCGAAAAGCCGTTGAGCTCAATAGTTCTTGTTTCTTAACACACAATCGAATTGAGCTCAGAAAGCTTAATTTCAAAGTGTGCGCCCGCTTATTTTCGTTTCATAGTAATATACGTAGATTTTGTAAAACTTCCTTTCAGTCGTGTTTTTTTGTTTTGTCAGAACGGTAAAAGTAGTAGATAGCAGTCATCATTACTTAAAAATGATGGAGTTGGCTGCGCATTCAACAAAAATACTTTCAAACCATCTGGGTCGCAGTAATCATCGGCTCTGATATTTTCAAGAGTTTCTTACTTGACGCGCAGTAAAAATGTTTAGTGTGAGCGTGCACAGGAGAAATGGTCCCTTGCACTGGGTGTGATCGTCCTTAAGTGTTCATGCGATCAGGTACTTTAATAAGTTCAATTCACGCCTGTCTAGATGAAGTCCAAAGTTTGACCAGTTTAGTTGCATTTTCACGGTCATTAGAGGGACCTATAGATCGTTTTCACAGGATATTCCGACGGTCATATTGGCTACCGAAACAATAATGACTCACGGCCATGTTAGTACTGCACTAAAACATATATTTAGGACCAGATTTTCTTTTTTACAATAACCACCAAGTAAAAACAACGACGCATTGATTTAGGAGGTTAATATATCAATCTTTAGCAATACTAGCGAAAAGTGCCCAAAATTTTAAAATCGAGCATTAGGCATGGTTGAAATTTGGAACGTTATCCGTTTACCGATTTACACACCTCGAGCCTGGTCATGATCACTATGAATAAATAAGCTCTGAATCAATCCCCATGAACGCAATCGGCCAACAAATACAAGTTGCATGCATGGATACCACTTTCCCGTGATTGTATTTATTGCAATCCAGCGGATAAATGTACAAAATCTACTACGTTAAATAACAGGTAGAGGTAAATCTGCTCAATGGAATCATCCTTCCTTTGAAGAACGTTTAAAAGAATTACTACATCAAAATGGCATAAGAATGCTATTAGTTAATTAACACAACAACTGAGACTGTGTTGGTCACTCATGGTAAGATTCCAAGGCCTATTAGGTCCAATTGATGAAGTTGCAATTAAAGTTGTCGCAATCATGAGTGTTTGACTACAATAAAAACCTAACACTGTAAAAGAAACCATTATCAAAATGGCAAAGTGAAATCTAATGAGTGCGTGCACTTGAAAGCAGCCCCTAATAAAATTATGCTATGGGAGAAAAATAACTGAAATTGTTCCAAAGTTAACGTGACAATGATATCTCCTTCACAGCAACAGCTTATTTTAATTCTGATAGTGATTCGAAAGGTCGATTCAAGATGATTGGGTGGTTTTTTCGAACAGTCCTAAAGGCGAGTCGTTTATCAATTGCCTATGGTAAACAAGGAAAAAGTTTCTTATTCCTTTGCATCCACCTAATCTTCCTCCTCAGCAGACTCAAAACTTTCTGTTGAATCGAACCAGTTTTCTTGTAAATCCTTGGATTTCCTAGCTTGCATGTGGAGATCAAACCACAAAGAAAACAGTTCAAGGTCTTCACAAAATTCTTCGGCATAGTGAACATTTAAAAGATGATTAATCCGATCCAACCTTGCCAATATCTCAGCTGCCTCAGGTAGAATATCTTCCTCAATCTCCGTGTTCGGTAAATCATACGCAGATTTTTCTTCATTCGCCCTTAAGGGGTCGCCCACGCAGCCTAGTAGTTCTCTCGTTTTCATTATCACGAAGTGTCCAAGACCAAATTCTCCTCTGGAGAGTTCCTTGATGCGGCCATAATTATAAACAAGAACAGAAACGAAAATATTTATGCATATGAGATTAAGTCCTAATTTTAACGCTGTAAAGTAAACGGGGCCAATGACTGTGCAACAATCGTTAAAATAGTCCACTCCGCCACCAACGACTCCTTCGACTAGAAGAGACTGTAGAATGAGGAAAGGCGAAGAAAAGGAGTAAAGTTCTCTCCCAAATAGAATATATCCTACATGGATACATCCAAATATGAACACAGCGAATACAATTGAGCAGTGAACGAGTTCCCGAGCAGATCCCTTCATTACATGGAATAAGTGCCTCACACGGGGATTGAATTTGAGCAAATACAGCAACTTCAAAGTGTTCAAGAACATCAGTAACGATAAAAATACCGTTTCTAAGTCTTGTAGAAGAACTCCCCAATCGAAGCTGATAAATTGAAATGTGTTTTTCTCAAGTTCAGCTGTGGTAGCAAAGAGCTTTGTTTCTTTCATAATGTGAGCAATTAGAAAGAAAATGACTGATATAGTCTGGAGGATTTCCACCCAATTGATAAAACGTGAGAAATACAGTCGAATTCCCACGATCATCTTCCTCGTTTCCTTGATAACAAAGTATATGATATAAACCACTAGTAACAATTGACAGGTTATGGTTACAGTACTGTAGCCCCCACCAATGTCATATATGTGCATAGTATGAATCACGTGATTAGAAACCACGAGACCACTTGGCGAAAACTCAATCAGGATCCAAATCACACTGAACAAATTTACCTGAGAGTTAAAAACTGCGCACTCAAAAATTAATGCACTGGTAAATCTGTCAATCCAGTCAAACAGGTTTAGTTCAGAGATGACGTTCAGTGCTGTAGTTTTGTCATAGCCCAACTCGGCCAGGTAACCTCCTTCACCATAAAAATTAAACAGATGAAGTTTTCCCCATAAGGGAAGATTTAGTGTTTGCTGGGCTGAAGAATAATGCCAAGCACTTGGACAGACCTGAGGAAGACTAACGAGTGACTCATTCCTAAATGAGGAAGACAAACGCCATTTTTTTCCAAGGGAGCTGGTTTTGTCCTCGTTAGTAAATGTATATGTAGCCACGCAAGAGTTGAGTGGGGTTGTCAATTCCTCTATGCTGACATCACAAGAACCTTAAAGTGGAAAAAGACCATAGTGTTTATTGTTTCATCTTTGTGATAGAGATATCGTGTGCATGAGATGCTAATTAATTCATAAATTGAGGACTAATGATTGAGGTTTTCATTTTCTCTCCTCGATGGAAGCTGCCTAATGAAATGAAATGATTTTGCATAATCTTCATGAAGCACAATTTTTCTGTGCAGGTTACCCGAAATTTTAAATATACTAATTCTTTTATAAATTATTCAAATCAAGCTCATAATCATTGGCACACCCAGCAATTCACGTTGACAGTTATTCAAAGTGATCTGCTTTTCGTCAAGTCGAATATAGTTTCCACGAGTTTTTTTTACTCCACTCAAAATTTGAAGTAAGAGCGCTTATATAAACTGCTATAAAGCTTATATAAACTGAACTGAAACCAGTTTGTCGACGAGATAAATTCAGGGAGCAATTTTGTTTGGTCTTCGTTTAAACACTTCCTTCAAAATACCTTCTTTGACTCGTAGCTGCCTAAGACGAGGCATCCCAACGAGGACAGCGTCGCCGTCTCCAATGTAGAGCCTGGAACTATTTGAGGTAACATCTTTTCCGTCTTCAAAAAGCCCGGGTACCAAAACGTCACGTAACCAGTTCCACGTGTTGAAGTGATTTGAGATCTAAATGTTCGGCGTGATGAATAAATAAATTAGTAACTAAACAAATAAATATTCACGGAATTAAGTCGATAATACTTAATTAACCTTTTATACTCTCTCACCGACGCAGCATCACAGTTTCTTTAGAAACTTACCCCTTTTATTCAAAGAAATATTCATACAGTTGACTGAATATTCGGCGACCGTAAATGGTTGTTGCTTGTGATCTATCAGATTATCAACGCATAGCTGACGTCAAACAAAAGCAATTTCCCTTGCTTTGTTTGATACGACAAAAAGTACTTTCGAGATTTCTCCTTAAAATTTAAAACTTTCTTCGCTCTTTTGCCGGGGAATGGAAATACTAGATTGAATTTTAACCTTTATCAGGGATTCTATCATGTGCCCATGTACCTAGCGCGCCGGTCTAAATTGGCGATTTGAAGCCGAGCTGACACACATCCATGCAGCTATACCTTTGCCATAGAAAACCAGTTCCTAGCAACTACGAAAATACGTTGACAGAAACTTGTCTATTTAAAAGTAGCTTTGATAGCTTTTTTTTTCTAACTACTTCGATAGTTTCCTTAAATAAACTTCACGGAACCGTTTCTCGAAAGTCTTGGGAATTACTTGTCCCCAAAAAGTTGATTTTTGTTGGTCTCGTTCACATTCAAGATCGAGGTACGGATAGGTTCGAGAATCAGTCAGTCAGGAAATGAAACTAAATGTTTTGGTTGTTCAAGTCAAGACTCGCAACTCTGGCTCCTAGATTTAGATTGAAATTATGACCTCAGGCCCGTAAAGTCACCGACACCTTCGACAAACAAGCCTTTGCAAATTTCTGTTAACATTATAAGTTAAAAGTATCCATTCTTACTAAAGTAAACTGGTCTGAAACGAGAGGATTAGCCTATAATGAGAAGTAATTTACGTACCGTATTAAGCTCTCCAAATGTGTTCTTCATGGAAGATGTCATCATGTATCCATGCTTGCTACGTCCACCGTAACAAACAATAAGTAAAATTAACAAGTACAGTAAGTACGATACTATATTCCGAAGAGCTGTATACATATACATTTCCCTCATTCGAGCAGCCCTTACGCGACGTAATTTTCTCTTCGTTAAGGGCTTTGGTGTTTTAAGTTCTTCTTTTTCGACCTCATCATAGTCTAGTCCACCAACTCTAATATCTTCGAGACTAACCTCTGTGTCTACAGGGCTAGAAATCCAGGTGGACCTTTCACATGTACTTTTGAAAAGATGAGGCAGTATAAAAGCAACGACGATGATTTTCGCTGGTTCCGTTACAAATAAGTCCAACAAAATTGACATTGAAACCGAAATAAGCCACTGCTCACTTGTATTTGCACCCCATTGTAGACTGTAGAAGATAACAAAAGCCGCCGCACAAGTCGAGAGGAGGAAACACAAGAGCCAAGGAACGTAAATAAACCAGCGTGGAAAAGAAAACTCGCGTTTTATCTCGCTAAATTTCGTCCTTGCGTTGGTTTTGAGAGCCATTTGCTTATTCTCATTCGAGGATCGAGTACGAGCAAAAAGTTGCACGGTCAAAATGTAGGCAGGAAATACAACCATAAGGCTCTCCACTCCAATGATGAATTCTCTGAAGTTTACAACAAAACGGCCCAACCTTAGCGTTCCCTGTGTGTCGTCCATCGCTGTTCTATGTTCGTAAAACATCGCACTAGTTAGCATAATTGTCAGCATTAATACTAGACAACAAGATAAACGTTGCACGCGACTAAATCGATATCTTGGTGGTCTTGCAGCGACAGAAAACCATAAATGTAAATCACTGACTTCTTCAGCAATTCTGTTCCGAACATACGAGGAAAAATCAATTCCTCTGTCATCCGCTGTTGTGAAACGAAAGGTACGATCTATTAATCCATCACCTTTATTAACTGCCAGCCACGTAAAACATACAAAGTTCCTTTGTATCTTACTGAAGAGATCGCTAACCTTGATCTGACTCAAAAACCATGATGGACTGGTGCCCTCGTTGTCATGCCATACTCGAACGGTTTTTATGGTGCCAATGTTAACAGGAATGGAAATAACGAAAGAAATAATACTCCCTCTTGCAAAAGGAATGCACGAATGGTGCTTCAAATGGTACGGTCGACTGGTACCTAACTCTCCCTCCAGTACAACAAAAACGTTGGCAGTGGTTCCCGAGTTTCGCCAGATGCCCGTAAATACTTGAACCTCGACGAAGTGATACCAAGGTACGGGTACTCCTATGAGTGCCCTCTCGCCCACCTTCAAGGGGAGAAAGGAGAACGGGTGTAAGTATGTTCAAAATGGACACAACCTGTAACTATAATGGAATAAAATGACTTTTTAAAGGGCATCACTTTTATCTGCGACCGTCATTTAAGAGTGCTAATAAGCTATATGTCCGACCACTATCAACAAACCTTATACGTGGGTTTAGGGTTCACCTTTACTACATATAGCTTCCACTTGATTTCAAAAATTTACTTTAAGTGACAAATAGGCTCTGTGTAAAGTGTTTATAGTCGCTCTGCCGAAGCTGAAATTAACTACCAATGATTTCAACAGCATTCCATATAGCATTTCCGCGTCACACAACCGAAGTCACCTTTCTGCTTTCATTTCTCGCACCATTTCTTTTGATCCCCCAAGAAATGGCTCAGTTAGCATTTTCAGCTTGAACATTTTCCTTCGAATTTGAGTTTTGATAGCCAATTTCTGTCATTACTTCGCCTAACGATCAGAGAAGATCTGGCTAAGCTTACTCTCGTTAAGCAAAATTCGTCGGGTAGCAATGAAAGAACCAATCAGCTGTGCGACTGATGAGGGTATTAGGAGCTTGCAATCAGTCATTCAAGGCTCACTGAGCGCGAGTTAGACAGAGGCCAGTTGTCTTTTTGGCCGCACATATTGGTAATAATTAGAAATTACATTTTTACCTTCGCGAGATCAAGTTTGTCATTTCGTCTAGCCCATAGCAGCATTCCCAGATAGAGACCAAATACACAGCCAACTGTTATTATAACAGCTAAGTTTCCACTATCCGGTAAGCGAACTAGCTCTGTGAAAACCTTATCAAAATCGATGGGAGTGGGCGCCACAAGTAACTGACCTCCAAAAGCACTCAGGTGATTACAAGAGCAATGGATATAATCTTGAGTTGTCACTTCGCTTACCTGCAATGAAACAGTTTCCATCAACAGTTAGATTTTGGTGTTAATTCCAAGTAAAGGTGAACTTGCTGGTGGGAGGAAAATAAAGGGGAGCAAGCTATATAACATGAAATTAAGGAGCCATTGATAGAGGCAACGATCTAAGAGTCACTAGTCTTATGGCCACTGTATCATCATATGTTGCAAGCTCCGTGGGAAATTTAAGAGTAAAGTGAAAAGCTAAAGCAATAACTAAAATAATCGTAAAAACGTGTTTAAACAATACTAAACCCACCCATCAATTTTCGCGCAATTTTATCACCGGTCAGCATCACGCAATAACCCCAAGTTACTTCGATATTTGTCCTCCGACTACTTCCGTCGAAAAGAAACAAAGTCAGCGGAAAAAAAAAACGATGTAAGAGTTTCACCCTTTCATCGTTATTACTTTACATGGAACTCGTTTGGTCGGGTCCAGGGATAGTGACTTTAGAAAGCTAATCTCAAATGCCGCCCCGGAAAGTACTAAAGGTAAACAAAATCTGCTGTCAACGCACGATCTAAAAATTAATAGGAGGGTTATCAAATAAATAAACCCCGTTCAGGTTTCTGGCATGTCGGCTAATAATGTCCTTGGCTGAGAGATTTTCCTCAAATTTCACAAGTGCTCTCGAAGCTATGCTTCTTGGCCAAATCCTTATTTTTGGGACATTCTCAGCCCCGAACATTCTCAGCAGACATACCAGATGCATGAAGGGGTTTACTAAGGAAATATTACGTCGCGTAGTTCACAGTTTACGGCTAAGGTTATCATTACTTCTCATATTTCACCTTGCATCCGTCAGACGTCCACTGCGATATTTCCGTGTTCCAGTACAGACAAGCAGCCGGTATCACTTGTATGGAGTAATTTTCATCACCTTCCCGATACTGAGGTACACTGAAACTTGCACCATTGGTGGGCGGTTCTTTGTACTGCACACATGATTGCTTTGAGCAGCGTCTAACTCGAGAGATCTCAGAAATTCTTGAAACGGTTGTTAGACTAATGAAGTAATAACCAAGACCTTTGCTCTCTACAAATTCCTGGTTCATGAAGACTATGTAAGGATCCCGTGAACAGTTGACATAACCATCTGGAATTTTATCGCAAGACGAAAGGTCGGGTATTGTTAAATTCAAGTCACTGTTACTTACAGAAGAGCGCTCTCCATACTTAACAGCCACAAAAAATTTTGTCTCATTGCTTTCCGGACGAATCTTTAACATCAAGGACATCCCAGTTTGGTTGACATTTACCTTGTAGAAAACAGTTCTGTTGGCTCCAACGAAATGAAACTGAGAAGCGTTTGTGAATTTCCGGAGGTTTTGAAGTCTTATGGTAACCGGGGATGTGAGTGCTGTCGTATTCAGGGGATACTCAGAACTGTTCTTAAGTTCAAGGCTTGAAACTGCAGTCGTCACTCTCGAACCAGAGGAGTCCCAAGAAAAAGGTGTAAAGTCTGTTGTTACCATCTGCAGAAGGAGAAAAGAACATTTGTAACTGTAAACCGCTTTCAAAGCAGTCTGTTGAAAACCAACTACCAAAAATATTTGTCGTTTTTTCAGTCTCTCTGCAGATTTAACTAAAGATTCACGGCTTGAAAAAGCGCAACAGATCACTATCCAACTTCCCACGGTCAATTCAGCTATAGGTGGATCGAAAGATTAAAAATATTCCTACAGGTTCCTAACAAGGTCCAAGGTTCCAAGCTTTGTGACGGTAAGTTTTGCTATGAAGAAACTGAATTTAGCACTACTTTAATAAACTCAAAGGTATGGGAGTCAAGTGTGGGTACGAAAAATAGAGCTTCTTTCAGTCATCGTAAACTTTCCTATAATGTCATGAAAAAGTAAACCTTGAAAGCTGAGCCAACCATGAACCCTCGTCACTCAAGCAAGATATCTCTATATTCATTTTCAACAACCACTCCGCAAAAAAAAAGATTACAGTTTACGATAATTGCAAGTTGATATAATTTCTGCGATTGTCGAAAAGGGGCAATTTAATAAATAAAATCACGTTTGTTACAAGCTTATTCAACGGAGTGGTATGCATTATTCAACGGAGTGGCATGCAGTCACTTTACTTTTTACCGGTGCCTCTCGTTACAGGAGACAACTTGATTTCTACATTTAATAACCTTTCTATCTAACTAGAGAATGGACTAGTTTCCTTCAAAAGTAGCGTACACGAGAAAGGTCGAGAAAAGGAACATTTATTACACAGACCGGCCGAATAAGACAATTCTTTTCCATTCCACTAAACAGTGGTGTATCGGAAGGGATGGCTATTCATTTCTAAATCTCATTTCATATCAGTGTCCTATTTCATTTCCATAACAATCCGTTTCGAAGCGCATTATTACTAAACTTAATGACGAACGACATTGTACTTCACAGCGGATAATTATTATACTTAATAAAAATCCGCCACGAATGACATAATACTTCACAGCGGATAGGTATAAATGTCGTAATAATCCTCTGAGGACCACGTCAGTAATTTTGCTACACATGGCGCGCCATACAAAGGTATATACACGGCGTGTTCTTCAACATCAATAGCGGTGCAATATTTACCAAGAAGTTATGTGCTGCGCAATCCAACAGTTTTTGTACCTACCTGGCTATCTACAAACTGGGTAACATTAGCCAAATGGATGGGCAATGAAGTAAGCTGAAAACTGTTTCCCTTGTTTGTCAAAACAGTCCCAGCGAGCAACTTGGGCTCCTCTCGCAACACTAACAGAGACATGGTCCGGGCTGCAATATTTTTCGGCTCCTCACCAACAAGAGTTTGGGACAAGATGATACTTCCGATCTCCTTTAAAGACTGGAGTATACTCTCAACACGGATTCGAGCCTAAAACAAAAAACATCCATAAAACAGGAGACGCTGGCATCAGCATTTATGGCTTATAACAGCTACTTTAATTTTGTTTCTTGGTTACGCTTGGTTCCGGTCCAATTGCTGTAATTTTAGCATCAAAACAACAATCAGGATTTGAGCACTACTTTTCGAGGTACGACAAGTTTATCTTTAAAGACCCTTTAAATGTCTCCATTACCAAACATTTAAAGTAAAAAAAGACATTCAGAATAAAATCCTCCAATAATTTAGGTTTTGAACACGTAATTCTGAACGCTTCTTTACCTGCAGCTGGGCTTCAGAAGCGTCTCTTTCGCTCATTCTTGCCCGTGAATAGGAAGTTCTTGACCTGAATGCTAACCTCCAGCTTTTACGTGAGATATGTTTATCTGTAGTTATGAAGCTGGCTTTGATGTTAGACTTCTTCTGCGAATGCGAATCGTATACACTAGCTTCATATGACACTACCCTAAGCAAGCTACCGAGACCAGTCACAAGACTTTTTGCGCCATCAAAAAGCGAGTCGTAACTTTCCCTGGCTGCACTCTCTTTCTTCAATACTGAAGTCATCTTTTCAAGCGCATTCGTTGCATCTCTCTGCTCGAAAAAAAAAAAAAAAGACCAGAATATTTACCCATTTCTTCCTTTTAGCTAATAACGTGATCCTCGTTTGATACCAAACCATTGCGGTCTGGTTATTAGATTACCTGCGCTTCGACGTTAACCTCGCCGATGACCGAGCTGGCAAAGGCAATCACGTTTGACACCTGCTGGACTCTAACGACAGTATCAACCTGGATGGCTGATATCAACTGTATGATGTTTGATTTAATCTGCATCAATTGAAAAAAGACAAGAGGTGAGGTTACAAGTTAAAAACGTTCGGGAAAAACAAAAAAAAAACAGATGATAATGTTCCTAATAGATGCGAAACCACTCAGTTATGAAGGTATCTCGATAGGGTGAAAGAAATTGAGAAAGAGAGCTACATAAGCAATTGCCACTTTCTGGAATGCAATACGTCGTGCTATAGAGTCTTCACAAAAATATTTGAAACAACAACCAAGGAAGGATAACGTAACCAACAAATGTTACAAGCTTTACATTACAAGCTTTAAAACATTGGTGAAGGGTGACTATATGCAAGCGAAATGTTCGTCTAGCAAACCAAGCCCAGCTTTAAATAGAACTCTAACCCAGGCTGGCAAGGATGCGCCTTAATCAAGCCCCTCTTGTAAGTAAGTTAATTACATTTCACATAGTTGAACCTCCAGAAAAAGGTTATTTTGAAATTTTCAGACAGAGAGTCTGCCTAGAAGTGGTTCATGAAAGTAAATCTTTACCATAATCCGTTTCTCTGTCAACTCAGGGTCCTGACTTTCTTTCGTTTTCGCAAGCGCAATGACATCAACGACCGAAATGGCTGCCGCCGTCAATTGAAGCGCACGAGACACGTCACCCGACTGAATCAAATAATTAAGCTCACTCTCATCCCCGCTTGTGAGGTTTTTGACAATGTCTAAGAGGTTTGCTTGTTTAATGCTGGGTTCCAAGACCTAAAATCAAAATAAATACAATAGTCAACAGATAGTTTACATGAGCTATGTTTTATTATGATAAACAATGTTGACTGAAATCGAAATCATGGTGGCACAGAAAAGAAAGTGATGAATATGCGAGACTGTTTCTTACGCAGTTCCGTTTCTTACCTGCACGGGAGTCTTAACTTCAGTGAATACTTCCCACATGTTGGTCACTCGCACTCGAAAGTCGATAGTAAAGTTATTTTTCCTCTCTCCAGCAGGAAGTTTGGTTGTTATATTAGTTTTTATTCCCTTGTATGCCACGTTAAGAAGATTATTATCTGCGAGGTAAATAAATTCATACCGCAACTGTAAGTCTGGATCCTGCCAATTATCACAAGCAAAAGTAAACTCTGTTATGAGAGCGACTCCAGAAGTTTGGCTTACATTGCACACCCCTCCAACAGGCGGACTGTTAGAGGTCACTTGGTGCTCGGAATACCCGCGGTATCCACCTGGTCGTTGTGCAGTCAATACAAACTTATACCTGGTATCAGGTTTCAGCACTCCTGACCTAGTGACGAGAGATTTTGATGAAACTCGAGTAGTTATCAACTCCTGTATTTCTGAAACCTCACTCCACTGATAACTGTTTGAAGAGTTGTTCAAATCTTTCAAAACTGTCCACTTGAAGATAAGGTCACTATGGCATGAGACACCTGTACATATGCCTTGTAAAGCCATTCTCCCGGATGGGTTCAGGTTAGTAGCGCAGTTTTCAACACACCTGCAGGCCATTCAAGTACTTAAATTAAGACAGACACATTTTCTTAAATCATAAAAGTCAATCCTATACTTTGAAAGGGATGATATCTAAGATAGAACCTACACTAATAGCCATCTCTCTCAGTGGCTATTGTTTATTTCGTCCAAAATTAAATCCATTCGCTCTTTTGAAGCATTTTTGTTGTTTCCATGCAGCTGTACATTCTCTTACATTCTTCCAAGTTAGTCAGCCACGTTGGAATTATTTAAAGCACAATCCCAGTGTTGACTCTTTATGTTATCTTCTTTGGAAAAAATTGCCAAGGAAAAAGTCAAATGAAAAGTCAAACGAACGCTTGAAGTTATCGCAATGTATTCAAGCATGTTTTGATCACATGGAAAATTAAATGCACAGGTAAATTTCAAGTGCCTGCCTGGTTGCTTACGTTTCACATACCTAATCTGCACTTCTGGTGGATCACCAGGAACAATAAATACTTCCTGAGTGTACACAGCTTGCCTTTCATCCTTTGTAACCAAAACTGTTATGAAGTATGAGGTGTTTTCTGACATAAGACTGTTGTTAACTCTAAGTTCATGTCCAACAGATTCTTTATCATCAGCACTATAACCACATCCTGCTTTATCTGAAACATTAAGATCCAGAGGTGACTCTTCTCCGCACAGCCATGTAAAATTGAGGCCTACAATTGCATAAAATAATATTTCAGAAATATATAGCGGCAGCCAATTGGTTTGAATCTGTCAGTCGGTCAGTCAGTAAGTCTTTCAGTTCTTTTTTTTTCAGCTCCAGCCGAAAATTACACCTCCTTAAAAAGGTAGCCTGCGAGCAGGCCCTCATTATTTGCCCTTGTCACAAGCGTTGCTTTGCCCGCAAGTAAGTTAAATGCTTTAAGCAAAGAGCGCCGGCGAGGGTTTTGTAAGGGATTAGGCATTTATCAACAGTGCAAGAATACTTGCGAAAGAAACGCTCGTATTGAAGTACTAATAATAAGCGCCGTCTGCTCGTGAGTTAATAAAAAGGCTTGCACAAATTATGTTTGACCCATCTGCAAAACTTGATTCTTTAATATAATTGAAAAATAATTGAAACTTTTTTCTTAAATCTATAATGATATAATTCATATTTGGACCTGCAGATTAAAATAATTAAAGTGGTGAAAACCTCGCAAGAGAGCTTCAATTTAAGCAACTACAGAAAAGGAGTCTGAAAAAGACAAAACTGACGGAATTTTCCAAACTGAATTACCAGCCTCTGTGCAACCGCCGACATCCAAACAAATTGGACTGTATCATCCAGCAGGCTAACAAAGGTTGTGAAGCTTTGATATTCCAATTGGTTGCAAGGAAAGTCTATTTCCAAGTTGGCAAGAAGGAAATATTTCGGTTGTTGTCATGCGCCAGGACGTCACAGAAAAATATTCCGACTTTGTAAAAGCCTCACATCCTTTTTTGCGTAAACATAGGACAAATATTCTGGCCAAATTTAATCAAAATCCGAAAATACTGCATACTCTATTTATATTTTTGAGTATAATTAACTCGCGTAAAAACAAACCTTGAATTTTCGGTCTCCACAGAAATTCAGTTTTTACACCTCATTTAAGCGCGTGTGATTACGGGCATGCAGTCAAGAAATGAAGAGCCACTCCGAATGTATGGCGAGTCTCATGACAAAGTCCACTGAAATTCGCGGGAAAGGTCATTTTGCAACCTCGCCGGGTAAAGCGAATATAAAAAGTCCAAAAACTCATCGAGAAAATTAGATAGAAGGAAACTTTTGCAAACCAAGCTAAGGAAAGAGAAAAAACGCTGGTGTGATGAGCTTTCTCTTTGATTTTAATCCGGGCGACTTTCCTTTTATTGACCGTTTCGTGAAGACTCTTATATCTAAACGTTTTGCGAAATGTGACAAAAATTCTCTTCATCTGTGAAGTGCAACACATGTTGTATGACAATTAAGATCCCGGACGTAGAAAATTAAGTCCGCGAAAATGTTAATACTGCAGGAAGGAGGCCTTTTGGATTTTGACAATTCTGGCAATTTCTTTACTGAGCTCAAGACTTACCGTCTCTCTGTCTCTCTTATTCTATTTATAATCATGACGCTATCATATAATTGTAATAGACCCAAATTTTGACCTGCGGATAAAATACAAGGGAATACATGATCTTCGCAAGTAAGCTGCAGTTTAGGCATTTGCTTCTTACGTGCGATTGCTTAATTCAAAGCTCACCTGTGAGGATCTTTCCTTCACCTAAAACTTTTTTGGATGCGGGAAATGAGTAATATCTGCTTGCTAACCTGAAAATTGCAGATTCTCTTCATCAGGATCATATGACAGGGATGCATCAAAAATCAATGTCCTTTCCAGTCCTCTGGCCACCTTGCTTCCACCAGCAATTAATGCCACTAAAGGGCTACTCACCACCTGGAAATAACCTCGACTGACCCCAAACACTGCTGTTCCTATCATGCTGACCGTCAGTTGTACCGAAAAAACACCAAGTGGTAACAAGCGTGGAGTGATCTGCAATTCTGAGGAGCTATTTCCTGAAAAGAATGGTGTATCGTCTTCACCAAGTTGATAAACACGCCAGAGGAACGACGTTGTGCGGGACAGCTCACAATTCAGTTCGACTTCAAAATGGATCATAAACTGTCTTGATCTATGAATCCTCAAGTCTGGAGGAGCATTTGGTGATACATTTGGCAAACTCACGCCAGGGCTATGACATGGAATGTCTGATGAGCAAATGATATACAATACTGTAGATCTATAGTAACGTTTTCCATACCTTTATGATCTGCGGATAGTTGTGCCCAAGCAATCCTTGAATATCATGAATTCTTAATGTTAAAACTACAGAATGGGTTTTAAATGGATGTCAACTGGTTATTAGCAAAGACCTTGGATTCTGCATGTAAGTTTCAAAGTTATTGAATGTTTATGCAACAAATCATATTTGCCATAAACATGCTTAATTTGTTCTATTCAATTCTCTGTAAAGAATATGATAAAATTGATAAAATCAATTAAATTTAGTTTAACCTACTTAACTCTTATTTTATACTAGTAATTAAGTAACTTGTAATGTTTCACATACATTTCCAATAACTCCTCCATATATATATATATATATATATATATATATATATATATATATATATATATATATATATATAAATAACTGCAGACAGTACTGTTTCAGCCTCCTGAGCCTCACCAGTGCAGTACTACAGTACTAATGGTAAGATGGAGGTAAGGCTCTATAGCCACCCCAAGTGATCTCACACATGTGGGATCATCTAAGCCATGCCAGAGTGCTCAAACTAGAAAAACTAGTGAGCATGCATAATGCTAGCAGCAATGACTCATCCTAGTAGAGTGCTCAATTTGGACATGAAAGCAAAGCTTTGTATGCCAAAGAGCTATATCTATCTATATATATATGTATATACTACCCTTGAGAAGGTATATAGGACGGTATATAGTATAGGTATATATTGAGGTATATATATATATATATATATTTTTTTTTTAAACCTTTATGCCACCTGTTTGTCCAACATATATATATTAAAATGCAAATTAAATCACTCCAATTGAGTTAAAAAATTATTCATTTCTTTAAATATATTTTTCTCATATGCTTGGCATATGTAATGCAACAGCTATCTGTCACTGCATGTAAGTTAACATTTATTAGGGAATTTTTTATTTCATACTTACCACTCACAAGGAAGGAGCAATATTCTCCAGTGAAATTCACAGCACATAAACAATAAAATATACCACCAGGTTGATCAAGACATGTTCCCCCATTTTTACATGGATCAGAAGCACAAGGTTCATCTGAAAAGCAACATCTACAGCGCTAAAATAGCCAACACTTCAAAGCAAAGGTCTTATAGCTCTTGATAAAACAAAACTATAGGTTTTAATAAATATGCCTTTTTATCTCTTATTTTCCTAAGATAAATTTAATGATCTGAAGTAAAAGGTTCATAATAGCCTAATTTTTTTGTAATTAAATAGTTTTATATCAGAATAAACTATCTTGATCTGTAATAGTTCAATTCTGCATGAAGACTTGGTGCAACATTTGGCAGACTCACATTTGGGCTGTGATATATAATATTATTTGAGGAAAACAACTAAATTTGGCAAAGAAATTTATTTTTTTATATATACTATCCTGCTCTACCAAGCAGTAAATGAAAGTGGCTCTTTAATAATTGTCCTTATTATTTTAATGTATATTACACACAACTTTTTAAACTTACATTGTTTTGTTTTCACTGTGAGTCTCTCTGAGTATGGTCCAGTGCCTGCTGCTGTATAGCCAGCAATGCTTATCTCATATATGGTGCTGTTCTCAAGGGTAGTTATTTTGGCTTGTGGAATGGACTGTGAATCCCAATTTATTATCAGGTAAGCATATTCACCACCGAAAAACTTTCTGTATCTTGTCTTGTATCCTAACAGATAACCATTTGTAAGGTTCTCCGGAATAGGTTTCCACTTGAAAGTGATTGATGTCAACCTTGTTTCAACCACACTTAAGTCTGTTGGTGGAGCACTTGGTACTAAGCAATGCAGAATGTATCAGGTATAAATTTAATTCAAATTGAACTACATCTAATTGTCCCACATTAGATGAAATCACATGAAAAATACAGGTTTTTTTTCATTCTTGAATTGCAATAATAAAAAATTATAAAAAAAATTATAAAAAATTATGTGAACTCCAAGGGTGTATTTAAAGGGTAAATTAATTGGGATCTGAGAAATAACTCATTGGAAATCAGTCTTCATTTTAGCTTGCATGCATGAGATGTAGTCAGATTACTGGTTGGTATGATTCACACCAAACAAAGACTTTAAATTAACACCTCCTCTCAATTCAGGAATAAACAGAATGCAGAGAATGCAGCTGTGTGTAACCATTAAGAATCTTAATTTAAATGGTCATATGTGCATAAAGTAATTGCAAATTTAGCAAGAAGATCATGACAATGTTCTTACCTCCACTATTCATTGTTACTTGTTCAATAAATATAATAAAACCAACTTTGACCAACAAATTCTTCATTTTGTGAAATACTTTTCCTTCACTTGACAATCTCATTTAGAGATTAAATTACAACCATGGACTGAAAAGCAATGTGGAGAAAGTTGTTAAAAGTAAGAGCATCTCAAGTCAAAATTTCAAAACAAATTGAGTGTTGTATGTCTTATTATTATATTAAAATACAATATGTGTACTTATGACGAGTCGAATCCTTTATTGAGCCTTCTTTCTGCAACTATATTATACCTTACCCCCAACAAGTAACTTTTCACTTAATGTTCCCATGTAGTTTAAGTGTTAACATATCTTAGATTTCTGAAAGTCTATTAATAAATCAGATAATCAGAAAACTACAGTGTACAATAACAGAATCTCCTGCAGCTGACATGACAAAAGCTTCAAGAAATAAAAATAATTTAAATTCAAATAAAAAAATGAAATTTATATTTTCAAATACATTGAAAGCAGTGGTGATTATTGCAATTGATCAACTCTTTGAAGTGTGATTTATTCCTTAGTAACACACATGCAAAAATTTCAGCATGCTCATTGGCTGAGAACATGTCAATTACAGATGACTTTTGCCATGAGAACACCTCACTATTATGCCATTGCAGACAAGAGCCAGCCCCCCCCCACAAAACACACAAAGAAATGACTGAAATAAACTCCTGTTATAACGAACGATTGCTATTACGGAAATGTGGACTCACACGCCCCCCAGCACAACATTTCACTTGTTTTTTCTCTCACCATAGCAGATACTTCATCCAAAATCCTGACTAACATAACATAAAGAGACATTATGATAAAGTAAAATATAGAAACCATTCTTTAATTGGGTGCAAATATGAAAATTTCATGCTTGTAGCTGTATCTTTTTCTGGTTTGTAGGACCACATTAGAAACTTCATGTTTGCATAGTTGTGTATTATTTCATACATTTAGATATAGAGCAATTTTTTTCCTCTTATACCCTACTATTACGGACTTTTGCAATTACAGACACTAATATTGTACATGAAAACATTGTGCCTCTGATTGGCTGAAAACAAGTGAAGGCACATGTGACACAAGTGCACAGTTGTAAAAATTACTCAGTTCTGATTGGTTCAGATGAATGCAGTTTTCAAGGAATTAAATGCAGAAAAGGGTTAATTCAGTGCAAAGAAGTAATAAACCAGACTGAACAATTCCTTGAACTGTTAAGTCGGACTTTGAGCAGGAAAGTAATCTCTGCCAGGAGGCCTTCCCAAGGTCCTTTCTCAAGGAAGGAAGAAAAATAACCCTAGGAATGAGGTTTCAAGAGATGAGTTATTTTAATTCATCTCACATCATCTTTTAGATGCCTACATTTTTCTCTTTGTAGCACTGCATAAAACAAAATGTAAACATTTGTTAAACAATGAACTTAATAAAGGATTGATGTCAAGTTCAATCCTAAATTCTTGAAAGACCCCAAGTTGCATTAGCCCTATACTATGGACTCATACATAAAGGAGTAAGTTTCTAAAGAAACTGTGGTGCTGCGTTGGTGGGAGAGTATAGCAGGTAATTTAGTGTTAACAACTGTGTTGAAAACGTAAATTAGCCACCGTAAAGGGTAAAAAAGCTGACATTTTGAGCATTAGCCCTTCGTCAGGGCGCTCTGACGAAGGGCTAACGCTCGAAACGTCAGCTTTTTTACCCTTTACGGTGGCTAATTTACATTTTCAACCCAGTTGTTAACACTAAATTACCTGCTATGGACTCATACAATTTGGTTAGCCTTTGAAAAATATACTGGTGCTGATTCATCTCAAATTGCACTTGAGATCATGTGATTACTTTATTACTAAGATACATGAAAAAAATTACTCAGTTCTGATTGGCTAAGATAACTGTAGTTTTCAGCTAATTCATTGCAGAAAAAGGTTAATTCAGTGTAAAGAAGTAACAAACCAGACTGAACAACTCCTTGACCTGTTTAGCTAGATATTGAACTTTTTTGCACCTTAAAGATGTGAAAATATCTTTGTATATTATTGTTTTGATTGTATGTGGTTTTTTGACCGAATGCGTAATGTCACTTGCAGGGTTTCAAAAAATTTTTTTTGCACTTGATGCATTAGGGCTTGTGCAATTTTGTTAGTCTTTGAAAAAATTTACTGGTGCTTATTCATTCCAAATTGCTCTCAAAATCGTTTGATTACTATGGTGGCCAGTAAGAACATAACAAAGTCACAAAAACTGCAACACAAACACAAACTAAAAACAGAATCACAAAATCCACAACACTAACACAAAACTCTACAACACAAACAAAAACTTAAAACAGAATCACAAACAACACAAACACAAACTTAAGTTTGTGTTTATGTTTGTGTTGTAGAGTTTTGTGTTTGTGTCGTTGAGTTTTGTGTTAGTGTTGTGGATTTTGTGATTCTGTTTTAACTTGAAGTTTTTGTTTGTGTTGTAGAGTTTTGTGTTAGTGTTAAAGAGTTTTGTATTAGTGTTGCGGATTTTGTGATTCTCTTTTAAGTTTCTGTTTGTATTGTAGAGTTTTGCGTTTATGTTGCGGATTTTGTGACTCTGTTTTAAGTTTGTGTTTGTGTTGTAGGTTTTGTGACTCTGTTTTGTTCTTACCGGCCACTGTCGATTACCTATACTAATTAACCTGTTTTTTTTTTTTGCCCTATCTTGAATCATTTTCATCCACACATCTCAAAAGATTAGCCCTAGACAAAATTCTTACGGAGTTTTACACGAATGTTGGCAGTTCATATTGAAAAGACTGGAAAACTTACAAGCCTGCTAGCAAGCCTTTGTCTTATGGTTACTGCTATTGACTGTTAGTAATGATAGACATGATGAAAGAGGAAAACTTTATAAACAAGTAATCACACAATTGGGGGATTATCATGTGCAGTTTCAGATAAGAATGCATGCTGAGTTGCAGTCCATGATTACAGATCAACTATACAGGTGTCTAAATGAGGGGAAAACTAATTAACCAAGTAACCTTACCTGAAGAACGACCATTAATTGTCTGAAGACTGCTAAAACCCTTCATCATCCGCTTTCCAGCAAACTTTTGAAGCGGCGCGGGAAAGTAATCCCTACCGGAGATCTTGCCAACCTCGTTACCAAGGTCTTTTCTCAAGGGAGGAAGAAAAGAACCCTGGGAACAAGGTTTGCTAGTTATATCAGCGGAGGAGCGGCGGAGGGAGGCGGAGGGTAGGCGGAGGGGCATTTTGTTGCGCATGTTCTATAAATTTTAGTTTGATACGAGAAACCGCTGGTATACGCCTGCGTCGGTTTCCCGCTCAAGGATCGCGAAAGAAAAGAGGCAGGAGAACACGTCGGAAAACAGCAATAGATCGAGTATTTGAGTCAACTTTTCTTTTCATTTTCCCTCTGTAACTTAGATGAAAGCGGCAAAGTCTTAAAACTGTTGTGTGGTGCGAGGAAGGAAGTTATTTTCAAAAAGCAAAAGATTGTACAAACGACTACGAGTCATGTTTTGTAATTGTTTGGGCGATCGATGTAGATGATGTTATTTGTGAAGGATGCAATAGACCTGTCGAAGAGCACTAATTACTTGGATGGTATACTTTTATCGTGTCATTGCTATCTCAAGTTATCGTTGATCATTTGAAGTACTCAATTTCTTGTGAGCGTTTTTTAGCACTCCAACTGTACCGCTATTGCAATGTCCTTCAATTTTAGCGAAAAGTTAAAGTTTACAGAAGTTTATGTTTGTTTCATAAGCTTTTTTTTTTACTTGAATCACAGCCGGCGAGGCCGGTTACCAAAACGAAAAAAAGGTCAATGTTGAGTAAAGAAAAGTAAGACAACGTTAATACAAGAGATACGGTCGCCTTAGATAAAAGATCTTGTTAGAAATGGAGGAATAATTGTGGATTTTAACGGAGTAAGAAAAAGTCTTTTCAATCATTAGTCTCGGAAATATCATCAGATATGATCAGTGATGAGGGGAAATTGTGAATTAAAACTAGTGTTAGTTTGGGCTTTCAGTTGTAATATGAATAGGTAAATAAATCAATTATTTCCCAATAAAAATCATATTCATTTATCATTTCAACTGCACAACAAAATCATACACATTCTTTCCAACCTCATTCTCCAACCTATTAAATTCCAAGAGTTATGTGAAAATTCAGTGGTCTGAAAAGACTCCTATTACATGCCAAACAACAAACAAACAGAAGGGCTGATATTTAACAGTGATGATAAAAAAACAAAATATTTCCAAAAGCCTTTTTTCCTGGGAACAGGACTAAATGAGGTCAGATTAAACTAATATGGAGAGGTTTGTTTATCTCTTTATGAAAACGGATGATTTACATATATCATATTTTTAGAGAAATGAAACTTAAGTCAAAAGGGGACTGTGACATTGCATATTCTGCAGTAATGGACATTGGCTTCAATGCCTATTCGAGGAAATTTATAGTTTTCTAGCCAGGGGTTTGGCTGTGCTAATTTTAGGGCAGACAAATCATACATCAGTCAC